ATATATATATATATATATATATATATATATATATATATATGATCAAGCTAATCTGGATTTTGTGCTGTTGTAAAATGGGTTTGAAGGTTTTATCGTGCACTACAACTGTGATCACAAAGGTAATTGAGAAACCCTTATTGGCCATATATGCAACTTAAACAACAAAAGAACTAGAACGTGAAACAGATCGGCTCCCTATTTATCTATATTCCGTCAGCCATTCGTGTGAAAGACACCCGAAACAAATGCTAAACGGCGTTGTTTAACTTGCATTATATTTCTTCATTCTCTCATTTGTCTATCAAAAATCCAACAAATCGCTGGAATGCTCATGTTCCACATATGGTAATGAAAAAAGCACATTTGATACTGAGTACACTGTGAACTAGGAAGAAGAAAATCTCTATACTTTCAAACCATACATGTGGGAGCAGATGTTAATGAATTTTGCTGAAAACGGTTGAGGTTTCCTATAAAATGCAAATTAACCACAGTGATATTTTGATTTTATATTGCGAAAAAACAATTCTTCCTTGTAAGTCAGATCTCAGCTGGCTACCAAGAGATTAGAACCGGCCGTTTCAATGCGTGTGACACAAATGAAGGTCACGTGCCCGTGGAGTTGCACGCATCACATCAAATTTAGGTTTTACCGATACTCGTGCATAACTCATTTTCAGTTCTTCAACACCACGTCGGTACCCTGGACCGGACATTCCTCCCCACCCCAGTCCCTAGTTGCTTGAAGCAGGCACGTTTGCAAATCGGAACAATTGAAGACAGTTTTTCATGGACAAGGGTGCTCAGGAAATGTCATCCGCAATCACAATGTCAGATCATTGCAAATCCCATTTCCCATATGCAAATTCGGCCCCTGTTAGATAACATGTGGTGTTTTATTTTTTATCTCAGAGCACGAGAGTCTTTGGTGCTTTATATTCCTGGAAGTAAAACGCTAAAACATAGTTTGATTTTGCGCAAACTTGTAGTGAAGGAAAGATAGAATTAAATGGAATTATGTGCTGGCAAACGAAAAAAGTAGAGTTTTATTCATAGCGCAGAAATTGATCCATGAATATCTCTGCTTTGCGAAGTGGGTTTTCGCTCGTTGTTCATTAGTCTTAGCCTACGGCTATGCGCTAGTGTCAGTCTGCGAGGAAACAAGGATCACCTGTCAAAATGAATCGATCTAAAAGGCTTATTCTTGCCGAATCTGCTAAGTATGGTTTTTTAAGATTTTGGGGGAAAAATATGCTAGAAAACACGGAATATAATACATGTCCTATATAGTTAGGGATTTCAGACTCGAGAACAAATGAATCTAGTACATCAGTGCTAAGAAAGCCAGACGTCAAGCTGATCTACTATATCAATAAAAAACCCTAATGCACTCATGAGCAAGCCGATACAAAGTTAGCCTGGACTTTGAGGTTGAACGAGTAAGCATTAGTTCAGTTAGAAGCATCGGTCAGCTAGATGTTTTAGCAAATTGTGCAAAATGAACTGTCACAAGTTCAGTGCTCCTCTCCGTGTGTACGCTACCATCATGCACACTTTTCCCTGTCCAGGCAGATGTGCTGTGTAGTAGTAGTAGTAGTAGTAGTAGTAGTAGTGACGATCAGCGAGAAAGACATACCTTGTCTTTTGCGCTAACAAAAATTAATTCTGTGGGGGGAATGGAACTCGAATCGGGTGTAGACAGAACGAGAATGTAGGTGCTTTTGGAAAATGTTCCATTAAAGAAATCAGTTGGAAGCAGAAACAAATTTGTTTGAAATTTTAAATGTGCTCTGTGGGACTGCTTAGATAATTACAGGAAAGATACAGTGTTTTCAGTTTCAGCAAGTGACAAACACAAGCAGGGCACGAATGAATGCGAACTGATTCGGCGAGGAAAATGAGTTACG